CAAGTGGATAGTAACAGCTTATTCTCTCTTTCTGTCTGATTTTCTTGCTGCTTTTTTTTTTTGGTCAGTGGTGGTGGTTCTGTTTTTAGGACAGACAAGAATTTATCAGATGTTTTTTGATATAATGGGAATAGTTTCATGGAATTTTGACTTTGTTAGAAGTCAGATAATGTAAAAGGAAAATTGCTGTCTTCTCAAATACAGATTATGACAATACTCGATTCAGATCTCAGTATCTGAATAACTGTGCCAGTGCATAACACAAATGCATAAAAACAAGCTCCATTAAGTAAAGGTTGTTGCTGATTTTTGTGAGGTCCAGCTCAGTCATCTGGAAACCAAATGCCAACAAAAATATCCACATATTTTACTCTGCACTTGTTTTGACATGCTGGAAATGAGAATCTCTGTCTGGAATGTCAGTAGTGTACTGTACCCCTGCTCTCATAGTCAGCTGGTCATAACAATGTGCACTGAGAGGGAAGCTTCCTTAACATTGTTTTGGAGAAGTAGCATTAAGCATAAAGAAAGGTGCTGATTTTTGAACTTTGATGTTTAATGTAAAGTATAAATCTGAAATTGAAATGTGAACTAGAAAAATAAGTTAGAAATACCTCATTTAAAAAAAACAAAACCAAACATCAAAACCAAACCAAAACCAACAACAAAAACCAAACAATCCCTAATAAAATGTTAAGAATTTTGTGCAAATATTTCTATAGTTCTAAGCCTTGGTGGTTACAGTATTACAACACAATAGTTCAGTTCTTATATATACAGTTTTCTGGGAAGTCAGAGATGATGCTTCTAGCAATATTTCATGCTTAATTTATGTTAATATCTTAATTTCATAGTTTTGACACAATCTAATCTGACTACACTTGGTATCAAGAACCCAAAAATATTGAGTGCTTCATTTCAGTTTGAGTTGTATTTATGTGTAATGGTTGTAACTTAGCTGTACCAAAGGATCCCAACCTGGCACTAAAGCATAAATTCTAATCATAGTTAAATTGCTAATACATTTACAAAAGAAATTAAAGAATATTACTGAATCGTGATATCAAATTTACAATGAGTCTAGGAAGGACAGGTGGGCTAGATGGTAATTGAGAATTGCATAGTGGCTCAGTTTCTCTGTGTGGATAATTTTCTGTGTGTTCTTTCTTTGCTATAACTGCTCACTTGATTAAAAGAAAAGAAACAAATGTGTTCAAGAGTTTATATTTACTTTTCGCTGGCTTAATGTAGAAGTCTTTTTTGTAATACTAACTCAGCTATGGATTACATATATCAATAATTCTTAGTGCATTATGGTTTTACTAACTTTCCCAAGTACCTTTATTCAGAGTAGGACAATAACACTAGCTGATCGTTTTTTTAGTAAATGAAGTCAAGTAAATCATAAATATGTTATTTATTTCCTTCGAGAATGTGCTTTGTGGTTCTACTGTTCATATGACATATCTCAGCAAGGTCAGGGTGTAGCCTATGTATCTCTCCAGGCATTTTATCTCATTTTAGAAAGGATGCTGGTAATAAATCACACAGAAACCTTTTATTCCCGTGTTCTCATTACACCACTGTTCTGCCAACTAGCCTATTTTTTAATAGCCTACCATTTATATATTTTTACGTGTATACTAAAATATTTTTCTTCCTTGAGCTCAGGGTCAGAGTCCATGCAATGCACCTGTGAGCACTGACTAGTGTGCTGCTTCCTGTGAGATAACTCTGAACTTCAGTATGATTTACTGTTCACATTTGATGTACTCTTGCTCTCTCAGTAGATTGTTACCCCTGTATGTTCATACATTTTGAGTCTGACTTTTAGCTTTTTGCCATTACAGCCACCTGAACTGTGTAAAATTTTAAGGCAGATTGTACAAAAATGGTTCATCTTGCTGTGTTTCACATTCATTTATATGTAATAAATGTCATGATCAAGATTATTATTCTTTTCTCAAATTCCTAAAACGGTAGCAGTTGTAACTTGGATACAGAATTCAGAAATAGTATTTATGTTTTCATGAACAAATTTTTAGAAGAGAAAATCAATTCATGATTATTTAAAGCTTATTTTTTTATAGAAGTCACTTAGTATGTATGACAAACTTTTGAAGTTTCCAGCCTATTTGGAGAGGGGCAGGATAAGAAAGGAAATGTTGTATGTATACATACATGTTGTCTGTATGTATAATAATTTCATTTAATAACTTGCTTTTAAATACTTTTGTAGAAAACTTGAAATATTAGATAGAAACTGCCAAAATAACTCTTTGATAGTTGAAAATTAAATTGCTCCAAATTTCTCAGGGAAAATATGAAATGCCTTAATGAAGAGAAGTTTTACTTTAAATTAATGATTTTTCCAGTTATTTCTGACTACTTTATTCTTCCCATTCTGCAAAATAGTGTCCCCTTGTGTAACATTTATGTAACATTTGAAACCAATGGAAAAGTACCTGACCTTCAAACATATAGTGCTGAATTTCAATAAGCATAATAACCTGTACTCCCTTAGAATTGTACTATGCATTGGAATGTTTGAAAGCTACAGATTTTCCTGTTTCCTTTAACTTCTGTATTCACTCCGAATCTTACTCTCAGGTAAGATTTTAAGAAAGAAATTGTCATGTGAATATCATTTGACTTATCCTAACAGACCAAAGTTTTTAAATTCTGTGTAAGTTTTATAATATATTGTCTTTAGCAATCTAGAGCTGATGTCAGATTTTAATAAAAGTTCTAGTGAAAAATGGGGAGATGCTTCTGTGTGTTGGCGTTTTTATGACAGAAAATCATAGATGCAGTAAGACTTTTCATGCAAAAAGTCAGGTAGCGAAGAGCTGCAGTAGAATAATAAGAAACAAAAAATCCTGAAAATAAATCTAACAAGTTTCTCTTTACACATTCAGCAGACTGTTACAAATTTGTGGGTGTTTATTGTTTATGGTGAGGAGAGAGTATTGAATAATTTGTCTTTCAAAGCTTTTGTCTTTAATACTAGTATAAAATAGAGCAGTTTTTAACTGAGTGTGTTTACTATTAAAAATGTATGGCTGTGTTTTCTCAATGAGAATAGATTTACATGTGTGCGTTGGGATTCTGTTTAGTATTTGCTACAAACCGATACTGCAGACAAAGATTCATGACTAACAGAGGTTTTGAAACATAAATAGCAGAAATCTCATCAATGAAGAAACTTCTTTCCATCATTTTATAATTGTGTTAAAGGGTTGGATTTTCTACTTGTTTGGATATTATTTTTTTTTAATAAACTCTTTTCCAGCTTTATTGCATGGATTGTCTGGGAAGAGTGCATAAAATAACTCTCCATGGTCTACTGGCTAAGTTCTTTGTGTCACAAAGGAATTAAAATAAAAATCGGATTTAATCAAGCCTCATGAATGAATAATCAGGTTGTACATTAAATCTTAATTGCTTTTTCTAAAATATAACAAAATTATTTGAAATCATTGTTGCAGTGAGGCAGCGTTTACATTAGCAATACTCAGTCTGATAATAAGAACATTTCATGTTCCCTAATATGGTTAATGAGTGCCCTTTTTAATTCCTTTAATTATTTTATTATTTTTTATGTATCAAAGTGTTTACATATTTTTTTTAGAATTGCATGGAGAAAAACATTTCAGGACTTAATGACTTCATGAGTTTAGACCCTCTGTTAAGTTTCTATGAATTATACAGCAACACAATGAACAAGCTGAATTGTTTCAGTAGTTCTTTTAATTATATTCATTGTTGTTCTACACCTGTAATTATTTATCATGTCTGATCCTACAAATGCTGTATCTTTGCAATTGATCAAAAAAACATTTAACAGCTTTGGAAAAGCAGCATACTTATATAGAGTTATGAAGATTAATAGAGGTGTTCTAGGTTGAAAAAAGTAAAGTCACATTATTTTTTAAGATTTAAGATTGATAATCAAATTTGTGAAATTTGGAGAAAAACTTAAGGTTCTTGTATATCTGTAAATCGAACACGTAGGTTATAAAAGTTAATAACTAATGTGGTGCTTGTAAATGACAGAAAATTCCAGTCTAAAGCAAATAAAAGTAATCACTTGAATAGCTGAGCCACTAGAAGAAAAACTTAATGGCTACCAGCTTGAACCAATTACTGATAAGCACACTTTTAATTGTCTGTAATTGATTCAAAATATACTTTAAGTACTCCTGCTGAAATATTTCTGATCACATGTAGGAATATAGGAATGGTTTTCTTTTTTATGTTCTTAACAAAACTTTTCACTGAATACCTGGATAGCTCTGTCTAAGAAAAGCAAAGCAAATCAATCTTTAAGTTCATGGAGAAACGTATAATGCATATAGATAGTATCTATTCTGTCCAAGTGACTGAAACCATTTGTTAACACCTTTTCCCAAGGGACGTTTTCCCTCATCCATCAATAAGGTTAGTTTTTTTTAACTTTTAATTTTTAGCATAGTCTATATTCTTATGCCTAATTTTTGTCACAGGCATTTTGATGAGAAAAGTTTATTACTATAGTTTCTTCACTCTAGTTTGCATCAAATTTACTGAGTTTGGTTTACCAGATATATTCTAATTTACTAGTAACAAAAAACCATTTTTTTGAAAACAGACTTTGGGCAAAGAGCAGGCTTGAAGTTCCTTAGCCACTTTGGTTTGTTTATAATCAAGTCAAATAATAATTTAATGTAAAATATTGAGACCAGCTTTCTCATGAAAAGGTCAAAGAATCTGTCCTTTTAAATGAGTAGCATTAGCCATGGAGTTTCTGTTTACTCTTGCCCTGGATTTTAATTTATTCATTACAGAATCAAAATATTCTCACACATTCGTCTATTGATTTTACTTTACTTAGATATTTACTTCACAACTTAGAGTCCTATTAAATGGAAAATGTGGGTTCAAATCCATTTAGACAAAGAAGGAATTGAATCTAGATCTTTTACAACCTGAGTTCTAACCTCCAAAATAATTCATTTTAGGTAATATATTCAACAGCTGATTTTCCAGGCTTCCCTGGTAATGAATTGCCACCAAAGAATTATCTCCTGCTCAAGGTAAGAGGTCTGAATACATCAGTCTGCTCTTTTTTTGAATTATAAATCACAAGGAAAAAGAGTCCTGATTATTTTTTCAGAATTTTCAGAATTGAAACTTTTGTTTGCAAGGAGTTATGCTATTTTTTCCTAATGACTTCATGGATTATAACAATTTCCTTTTTAATAGCCTTCCCCAAATAATGGTTATTCATGTGCATTTCATACCCATAACAATTCCTTCTAGTAACACCTTGTTTGTCATAAGGTGATAATGAGTTATATAGTGTTTTCAGTATATTTCAGGGTGCTTTTTGCATTACAGTTTAAGTCCTTAGGATGAAGAAATGTTTGGACCTTATTTATTCCTTCATGTTTTGCATTTAACACATTATCTAATTTAATGCATTAATGATTTTTTCTTCCCCTGTTCTAATGGTAATTTCTGCTCTAGGATTATTACATTTGTTTGTTTGTTTGCTTGCTTGCTTTTAATCACATCCCTCATAACACATTAAATACTGTGGTTTTAGTTGCCAAGACTCAGCTGTAGTTCACACTGTCTTAGCTTTCCAGCCTCATTTTTTGTAGACCATTAGTTCCATGTAAATCTGCTCATTGAATATAAAACAAATGTTGCTTTGCAGTTTATGACATAAAAATTCAAACATAATCTATCTAAACTGCTGCAAGTTCACACTTTTCTTACTCTTGTGTTTAAGATTTCCAAGTTCAATATTTGCTCTGTACGTTACAGCTTGATTATCCATGTTTTCTTCTTTTCTTTGTGCTAGGAAACAGTTTCCAAGAAATACATTTTAGTCTTACTGCTCTAGCACATCAATTTGTTAGTTCACTGATAAATGACTTTTGCTGTTTGCATCTATTGTGAAGATAAAGTGATTGTAAATGCTTTGAGAGCCTTCTCTATTCCAATACACTGCTTTATGACTCTTCAAGTTCAAATTTTGGCAGTATAAACCTGTAGGTGTAAGATTTATCTACAGTAATAGAAATTTTGTGTTTTCTTTTGCTAGAACTTCTGTAATGTGCTGTTATTATGTAAAACAGTATTGGTTAGTGATATATTCCTTTACTGAAGAGTGTAATTCACTTCTAAACGTAAGTTTTCTAGTATGCTGAAATATTGGTAGAGAGTAAAAGAAATGGCTAAATTCATATGTAGTTTAAGCAAGCCTAATCCCATTGATTTAGTCAAACTAATGCATATTTATCTTAACCCAGGAGCTTCCTTAAACTTTGTCAGCTGTAATCTCAAACAAAGGTATTTTTTCTTATTCTGTTTTCTGTGGGTTTCCCTCTACTTGTTTCTTCATTTAATGTTACTTTTTATTTATTGGAGATCACTAAACTTTCATATAAATAATTTTTGATATTTTTTTTCTCACTTCTATTGGTTATGACAACTGTTGTCCATTAAAAATACTGAAAAATCATAGTTAGTCTTCAAATTCCAGTGCTATAAAAGATGAAGGAAAATCTTAAATAAAGTGCAAGAGATGACTTCATTATTTCTACAATATGGGAGAGTAAAACATAAGTTCCCTTTTTTGTAAGAAACTCTGAAGCTTGAAACCTGATACCCTCTACCAAATAATGGAATTAGGGCTAATACTGTTTCTGTTACAGTCAGGGAGGAAGATACCTGGCTCTAGTACTGAGAGAAAGGTCAAGATGGATTAGAGGTGGAACAAGAGTCTAGATTTACAGTATCATTGTATAGATTTTTCTATGGTCAATACAGACTATTGGTGCATGCAAAGTGAATTTGTCTCTCAAGGGGAAAAAAAACATCCTGGAGTTTATGTTCTGAATAAAACAATTACCTTGAAGTCAAAATAATCAGACATCATTTCTGCAGTTGTCCAAATCATGGATGCTTACTGTATCATTTCTGTCTATTGTCCAAAACTAAATGTTCAATCTGCAAAAGTATTAAATGAATTTCATAAGTAAACACATTTACTGTTCCATTTTAATGGAGTTACCCTTCATTAGAGGCTGTCATTCAAAATTAATATGAGGAGCTATTACTGAGATGCCTATAGTGAAGGGCTGAATAACATAGTACCCATTTTTCAGAAGTATGGACATTTTTGAAATGGGAGTTGAACACTGATAACAGATTGATGTAATACTTAGTTAAATTTTTGTGCCTGTCACTTCTGTCAGTCAAGGTGTGGCAAACTGAAAGAGAAAATATAAGGGAAGAAACATTCAAAGTAACAAGCACAGACAAAAGAGTGTCTTTCTCTCATCCATTTTGCTTATAATACTTCCACAAACATAGAAGAAGGTTTTGGGGTTTTGTTTGTTTATTTGTTTAGTTGGTTTTTAATTAGTAATAACTCAAAATATTGACTTAATTCAAATTTCAAGAGAAATAGTGGGTACTGACCTTATACAAGCTAAGTGAGCTAGAAGGCAATTTTTATACCAATATTGGACTAATATTTTTATCTAGAATTTTAGCTCACAAAGGAAAGGAAAAAAAATAGCAGAGTAAACCCTTCAAGTAAAATTGTATTTTCAGTAAATACTGTGTATAAAATATCTATGTTAGTTTTTCTATGTATTTGCTGGGTAATGACAGATCACCAGAATTATGTGATCTTAGATATTACACCATAACATTATTCATTTGATTTTCAACTCTTCTTTCCTAGCAGCTATTTATATATATATATATATTTTTAGCAGAAGTCTGTATTTCCCTTCATATGTAATCATAACTTAAGAGTACGACTATACTGTAGTCATACTTTGTGGGGGTCTTTTTTGAGAAACACATTTTTGTGTCGTTATTATAGCATATGACATCTTTGGCTTTTTGCATGTCAAGGGGCGGAAATATTTCTTGTAGCTGTTATAATACCAATTCAGTTTATACTTTGTCTTAACTTGATGCTATCAAAATTTACATATAATAATTAGTATTGTTGAGTTTGATTAGAGCATGCATCTGGTCCTGAAAATTATGATGCTTTAGTTTGATTTTACTGTTTACTCTCATTACAATGACAATCCATTGCCAGTAATTAGATTATTGTTTACTTCAAGACCTAAAACTGAGCAAGAGTCATCTGCCTTCAGCAGCATCTGTATGCACCTACCATCTGTTCTTGTCATGCAATCATGAAGCATTATCTGTAGAAGTTTCTTCCTTTCACTTTGTTAATGATTTCTGAAATTTCTTAATATTTGCTGCTAAGCAAATTAACTGCTTTCTTGTGTTTAGTGTTAGCAAGACGTATTTCTTAAAAAAATTATGTCTCAGAAAAGACTAGTTTTCACTACTACTTTAGCATTTTATACTAATTTCGGGAAGAAAAGTGTGCTGCAAAAGTCAGACAGCATTAAATTGAAGCCTTCTGTAGGCTTAGAACTTACTATAGTATCAGTAAAATTTAGTAAATTTTTTCATTATGGCAACCTGTTGCTAGGTATATAAGAATACATTTAAGCTATTGATGCATTAGGTAAACCTATTTTTTCCCTTGAGGAAGTAAAGAAGTAAAATACGGACAGTTTAACTTGACCATCTCGTTTATATTGTTACAAAAATCACATGTATGCTGGGAGAATCTGTATTAATCCTGGGACATAGCTAATAGCCATGTCTGACATTTATATGGTAGACAGGAGTGGGCCACATTTTATCCACTTAAAATTATTTGATTTCATCACAGTTTTTAAATATCTTTAAAACAATACAGAACTGTTGTAATGGTGTTGAATCCCTTGCTATTATCACAAAATACCTGTCACTGTGACCTAATTAGTAATAAGGTTAGGGATGGAAGACTTCATAAGCCCAGCTTTATGGCAAACTGTTTGGCAAATATAACCATTTTGTAAATCCAACTGAACTGGCAACATTTTGCATTTTATATCTTAGTTTGCTTTCTGTTTTGTTTGTACCATTGTCAGCAAGTCAATATGGATGTCTTTGTTGAAAATGTAGAACACAGAAAAATGAAAAAAAAAAAAAAGAAAAAATAGCAAAAAAGATAGAAATATTATTAAAGTGATGATATTAAAATGCTAAAACTTCTTTCTTAAAATTAAAGTAAGAAGGCAAGAGCCTTCTGATAGATGATATAGTTATCATCTCTGGTTTTTATTTTAGCTTATTCCTCCTCTTCCCCTGCCCCCACCCCAGACTCTGAATGTAGCAGAATCTAAGGAATAGAGAGAGGAAAGAGGTTGGCTATGTGCAACGGAACGTACATTTTATTATTTGGTAATGGCTTCCAGCTTCACATAAGCATAAAATTGACATTAACTATTCTTAGTTAATCTGCAGTTCTTAATTTTGCAAAGTTAATGATAAAACAAATGATGCACAAATGGATAGGGATTTTGATTAGTCTTAATGTGTTGTCAAAGGTTTTTCTCCCCTACTTCACTTTTAAAAAATACAGACAAAAAGAACTGTGTAAACATAAGTGATAAGAAAGGAAACCACTCAGCAATATTTTCATGGGAATTTAAATTTACATTGTTAAAGTGTTGATCCTTCCTAATTGTAGACAACATTCATCACAATAAGTAAAGATTGATCTAGTGCCCAGTGTAAGCTTTGTTTCAGGGAATTGGGATGAGGAAAAATGTCCTCTTAAAACATGTACTGAACTACTAATATAAGTAAGTTCTGTTGGTTTCATAAACTGGAAGCCACATGTTCACATCAGTTTTCAATGAGCATACAAAACTAATGAGTAAAAATGTTACTTCTATTAAAGATTCTTAAAACACTATAAAGTGTAGATTGGAAAAATGATGGTTGTCCAATTTTAGCATAAATAAAGGAAAAACATGAGAAAATTAAAGTAATCTCATAATTGTTTATAGAGATAAATCCATTTTTTTAAGAATTTTCAGGAAGAAAAGTAATATTTTGCTCATAAGCTGTAATTTTCTGCTCAATAATTATCTTTCAGGGAAGTCACATTTTATCAACATGACTAATTAACTCACTGTACTGCTGTGCTAATACT